CGCCCCCAGCCCCACAGCCTCCCACCCCACCGGGCAGCTGTGTGTGTCCCACCACCTCCCGAAACCCCTCACCCAGCCCGGACTGCCCCAGTGTGGGACCCCCACTAGGGGGATGAGCTCCCCCCACTTCAGGAAACAATCCCACAGCATCCCCTTTCCCTCTGGTTTTCCTCCCAACCTGGGTGTTCTGGGCAGGAATATACACCAAAAATGCCGACACCTTCTATGAGAGCTTTTGCCTGGGCTTGGAAAACCCGTTTTCTGCCCCCAAAGGCTTTCATAGCAAAGTGTGTCCATCCAGCTGTTTTTTTCCAAATTCTTTATAGCTGCGTCTGGTTATTTGCAGGGGGCCCTCCCTGCCATGTGGGCCAGATGTGGCAGGACCCCGGTGCTCTTGGTGCTGGCACCAGGGATGGGATGATGCAGGGAAGCAGGACGCAGGAGCCTTGTGTCAGTGCTGGGTCCTCGGTGCTGGCCCCAGGGGATCTGTGGGGCAGGGTTGGCCTTAGCCCCACACGTGGCATGGTGTGGCGTGATGGCAGGGGATGCAGGAGGAGGGTACCAGCTTCCGCTTTCCTCCTGGCATGGTGCCCTGTGGTTGAGGGATGGAGCATCCTGGGGTCCTGTGAGGCAGCTCATGGGCAGCACACACACCGACGTGGCCAGAGTCGCCATGGGCATTGCAAAGCCACCAGCCCTAGCTCGGAAATGTGGCAGCTCTGGGTGGGGATTGCAGCCGAACAATGGTGCAAGTGGTGAGTGGGGGGGGTCACCCACCTCAGCACCAAAATACAGGATTTGAGAGATTTTAAAGGCTTCAGACACTGGTGAGCGAGAGGAGCACAGTTAGGAGGAGGAAGGCGATGGTGGCAGCAAGATGCCGAGGGGCTGGTGGTGGTGGTGGCACTGCAGGTGACTTTGCTGGCACAGCTGGGACCCACGGCCATGGCAGAGGCTCTGGGTGAGGCTGCTGTTTCGGAAGCTGTGGTCGGTTGGAAGATCCGGGGGCTCCCAGAGCGAAACCTCCCCACCCCGAAGCATCCTTGGTGGTGGCAGGGAGGAAGCTGCGAGGCCGGGGGGGGGGGGGGAAAGGGGCGTCTCCGTCCCCCCCTTCCTGTTTTGTTGCTTTCCGCTCCGCGCACCCAGGGGAGGCTGTGGCTGCCGCCCGCTCCTGCGACTCAGGGCCTGGGGACAGTGGCTGCTGCGATGACCCCTGCCCTGCCATGGAGAGGGGGGGTTCTGTTTCAACGCACTGAATTTGGTTCTGGTTTGGCCAAAAATAACCCCTTTCAGGCTGCTTCTGTCTTCAGTGAGAGCCAAACCAGGAGTGAAACCTCATTGCCCCCCCCCTCTTTCACAGCTGCTGTGGCCACAAGAGGGGTGGGGTGGGGAAACTGAGGCACGCATCCTCCGGCAGTAGAGCCGGAGCTCCCGGGGCCGGGTGCTGCCATGGCAAGGGAGCAGCAGGGACCGAGCAGGCGGTAGTGGCAGATAAACCACCCCATCGGCAGGAGCCGTCCCCACACTGTCCCTGTCCCACCTCACCGGGGACCAAGCCACGGATGGGGCTTATCGGTGTCTTCAGTGTCTCATTCGCCCCCAGTATCGCTGCCCGCAGCACTGTACTCTGCCCATTCCTACCCGTGTGCCCGGGTGGCGGAGCTGCTCCATGGGGTGCCTGAGCCACGGCACGGACCCCGCACCTCCCGGCTTGGTTCGCGCTGTGCTTCCAGACAGCTCCTCTGCCCGGCTTTGCCAGGTGGGAGGCCACAGCCCGGCTACCAGGAACCGTGGCCGGGAGACTGGAGCCATGCGCAGCCCCGGGAGGGAGCCAGACTTGTGCGCTATACCACCAGGGCGACTGTGGTTTCAGCATTTCAGGGGAGTCCTGGCAGCCCACCCACAAACATGGCTGGTTCTACTGTGCCGGGGAGAGATGGCTGTGCAGATGGTATTTGGGCAAAGTGTCTGTCCCAGCTAAGATGTCCATCCCCGAGAAGTTTCCATCCCAGCTGAGATGTTCATCCCAGCTAAAGTGTCCATCCCACCTACAGTGCCCATCCCAGCTAAGATGTCCAATCCAGCTAAGATCTCCTTCTCCTCTGAGATGTCAGTCCCAGCTATGGTGCCCATCCTAGCTGTCTGTTCCAGATTAGATGTCAGTTCCAGCTATGGTGTCAATCCCAAGGAAGGGTCCATCCTAGCTATGGTGTTTGTTTCAGCTAAGGTGTCCTTCCCAGCTACAGTGTCCATCCCAGCTATGGTGTCTGTCCCAGCTACGGTGTCCATCCCAGCTACAGCATCTGTCCCAGCTATGGTGCCCGTCCCAGCTATGGTGTCTGTCCCAGCTACAGTGTCCGTCCCAGCTACAGTGTCCATCCCAGCTATGGTGCCTGTCCCAGCTATGGTGTCTGTTGCAGCTAAGATGTTAGGAAAATGTTCTTCACTGAGTGGGTGGTTGGTCGCAGGAATAGGCTCCCCAGGGAAGGGGTCACAGCACCAAGCCTGTCACCGTTCAAGGAGTATCTGGATGACACTCTTAGTCATACGGTTTAGTTTTAGGTAGTCCTGCGAGGAGCAGGGAGTTGGACTCGATGATCTTTATGGGTCCCTCCCAACTTGAGATATTCTATGACTCTATGATTCTACGTCCGCCCCAGCTAAGATATCTGTCCCTGCTATGGTGTCCACCCCTGCAAAGTGCCCCTCAGCGGCTGTCCCCAGGAGGGGATAGCAGGCCTTGGACACAGGCTTTGGGGGGCCCATGGCCAGAACCACAACCCAAACCCCTGGGAGGACTGGCAGATGGGGTCACCCACCACACTGGGGTCCAGCATGGGACCATCTTGGGATCCTCCCTCCTGCACCTTCCCAGAGCAGTGACCCCCCCACCACGTTTGTGGTCCTCCTTGCTGGTGGGTGCCAGTGCCCCCCTGGCCTCCCCCACTGCTTGTGGCCCCCCTTGACCTGGTCCTGGTCCTG